GAGGGCCAGCGCTGAGGGAGCGCCGCACCGTCGGAGGGCCAGCGCTGAGGGAGCGCCGCACCGTCGGAGGTGCTCTCTATCAGATGAGACTGAAGACCTGTCAATCCTCTTGGGTGGGTATAAAGGGGTAGTAACTGTGGCAGGGATGTTCTTCCTGTGCTCCTAGACATTACGTATATCCAAAAACAAAATGCTCTCCAGATGAGTTGTTGATATCTGGTGCAATGGGATTGTGAAAGGCCTTTTATTGAGAGAAACTGAAATGTTTTCATATGTTTACATATTCTCTGTTTGGGAAAGGCACATGCTACCACCACAGCCATGCGCAAAAGCAGCTATGACAGGTCATATTTCTGTGCATCACATTGTGCCTCCCTTCCACAGGAGTTAGGACTGATCACACGCAGCAATGACCTATTTACTGACACATTTCATAACCCATTACTTGGTTAGTCACAGATTTCCCCACCATCTGTGGCAATTGTTCTCAGAGTTCCTGTTGACTGAAGTCGAGACAGATCAAACTGGCTTAGTGTTGCTGAGTGTATCCTGTCCTGGAACACTCTGGGCAGAAACCATGTCACAGAGCCTCTCACTTGGCAAACCTCTCATTAGCAACCTGTCCTTTCTAAAATTAGGCTAATCTCAGTGCCCAATAGACTTTGGTCCCAATATGGCCCATTCAATTTCTTTTGTCAGCAACGTGCCTTTCACAAAGAGGTCTGATTCAATGATTGCCTTCGCAGATAAGGTGCGGCCGAGCACTAGGATTGCTGTTTATTTTTAAACGCCTTAAAATTGTCTGTGAGGGGTGCGTGATGCAGGGCTGGAGGTGGGGGTGGCAGGGGGGTGTTGTAAGGAGTGTTAATGCAATGTGCAAGACGCTAAACATTTTAGTTGCATTTTGACAAAGGTTGCTCCAAAAGGACTTATGCAGCCGCGATGCCAGGCAACTCAATGTTCCTGGAAAGAACATGGGGATTGCATTTCCCTAGCACTTATCAGCACGCCCACCTCCGGAAGACCCCCAAAACTCTTTGCCGACAATGAAGCAGCTTCAGGGGGTGACTAACGGATGAAACTCTGCTGACAATTGGCATACAGCAAGATCCCACAAAGCAGCGTTTTGAGGGGACAGGAGTGTGCATTGGGTGGGAACCAAACCAGCTCTTATGGTCTGATGCCGGGGCAGGGGGGGTGGTGCATTTATACATCGGGAGATGCCGGTTATCAGATTCGACCTGCACCGTATCTCACTCCTGGGGCCTGTGCTTTTAGACACGTTCCCTGGGTGGGGGGTGGTGTTTGTGGCGAGGTGCCCAGGGCAGAGCAACCTGACCCTGCAGCAGCTGCTGACTTCAAACACAAGGCTGTTCTGCTGGTTATGTGGAATCTGTGCTTTTAGACAGCGCCTTACCATTGGAACGTGCCAAAAGGGTCCTTGTCCTGTGGCTGAACAGACAGATTCTCCCTCGGGACTTATAAATGCCTTCTCTCTCTGTTCCGAGATGCCAGAACTGAGATGTTGCAACTGCTGGGAAAAGCTCAGCAGGACTGGACTATTTTCTTTGGAAAAGACAAGACTAGTGGGTGGGGATGACCTGATAGAGATGTTATGAGAGGGGTTTGACAGGGTAGACATGGAGATGTTTCGACCTGTGTGTGAGAGCAAACAGTGGTGCCATCAATACAAGACAAATCCAATCAGGAACATTGGAGAAACACCATTATCCAGAGAGTGTGGAACTTATTCCAATAGTTGCCGGCTGATGAGACAAATAACAAAGACACATTTAACAGGAAAGTCATGGAGAGAGATTGGATATTACTGGGTTTGTTTTCCTTGGAGCAGAGGAGACTGAGGGAGACCTGACTGAGATGGATAAAATGATGAGGAGTGTAGACAGAAAGGTAGAGGAATCAATGGCCAGGGGCAGGGTGGGGGTAGATGTAAGAGGCAGGAGGTCTGGGGGGAATGTGAGGAAAAAACTTTCATCCAGAGGAACCTGGAACTCACTGCCTGTAAGGGTGGGAGAGGCAGATTTAAGAAGTGTTTAGATGGGGAAGGCATACAAGGCTACGGTCTGGAAAATGGGATTAGAATAGATAGGTGAATATTTATAACTGGCTGAGATTTGAGGGTTTGAAGGATCTTTCTCTGTGCTATAGATCTCTACCACTATATGTAACTAGATAAACATACAACAGGGAAAGGAATAGGACGGAGAGAGAGAGATAGAATAGGAAGCTGATGTGAACCATAAACACCAGAAATAGGCTGAATGGCCTATTTCTGTCCTACACATATTATAGCATCTTGTACGTATGAAGATGTTTTGGAGAGACAGTGTCACAGGATGTGGCGGGTGAGGGGTTTGGTGGGGGTGGGGGTGTGGGGATCATATCCCAGCAGTTTCTCAGGAAAGTACCACAGGCCCTTGGCAGATAGTAATTCCAATCTTTATGACCCAAGCTCCATTGATGGGCCGTGGGTGAAATGTGATCCCTGTCACTATCACAGTGTTTCATTCACAGCTACATCCCTTTAAGAATGCTCTTCACTGACCGAATATTTCAAACTTCAAGGAGAATGTGTAACTCCTCGCCCCACCTTAAACAAGAACCCAGCTGCTGATGCATCCTCACGGGAATATGGTGTGGGGCTGGACACTGCACCAAAACACATTCTGTACACACAGCCAAGACCCCTCCCCCCGTCCCCATAGCCACCCCCCCCCCCCATCCTCCCCCCCTCCTCCAATCTCCTCCCCATAACCTCCCCCTCTCCCCACACCCTACCCAATGCCCAAAACCGTCCCCAATCTCCAATACCCTGGCACTCCGCCAATTCCTTCCCATCCCCCGTTACTCTCCCCATGCCCCAATACCCCCCTCCAATACCCTCCCCATCCGTCCCATAGCCTTACCCTCCTCCCCAATATTCTCAATCCCCTCCGTTATCCTTACTCTCTACTCATATCCCTATGCCGTCCCCATTCCCTCAATCCCTCCCCATTCCCCAAAACCTTGCCCCTTCCTCCCATAGCCTCACCCTCCTCCCCAATATTCTCACTCCCTTCCATAACCCGCACTCTCTATTCATACCCCCGTACCCTCCCCATCCTCCAACACCCTAACCCTCCCTCCCATAGCCTCACCTCCCTCCCCATATCCTCATTCTCTATCTATACCCTCACTCACCCCAGTACCCTCTCCCTCTCCTCCAATATCCTCACTCTCTACCTATATCTTCACTCCTCCCCCCCAAATACCATCTCTCTCTCCCCCAATATCCTCTCACTTCTCCCAATACCCTCACTCTCCTCCCTCAATATCCTCACTCCCCAACCCAATGCCTTCCCCCTCCACTCAATACCCTCATATTCCTGTTTTTCTCTCTCCTCAGAGATTGTAAGGCCTGCTGAGTTTCTCCAGCACTTTCTGTACTTCATTTCAGATTTCCAGCCTGTGCTTTGCTGTTTCTGATCCTGGTGCTGGCTCCTACGAGAGGCAAACATACTGTACAGGGTTTCACAAAAGCACATTCCATCCCCAGGCAACATGGAAAACCTCAGCAATCTTCAGAGATAGTAGGAACTGCAGATGCTGGAGTCTGAGATAACACAGTGTGGAGCTGGATGAACACAGCAGGCCAGGTAGC